AATTAAGTCTAAAAACATCCATAACACAGTTTTTTTGTTAGATCTCTTCCTATCCTTTCCTCTGTCCGCCGAATGCTGTCCCTGACCAAAATAGCTCCGCAAATTGCAACTTTCAACAACAATTCTGAAATTTTCGTTCCCATTCCCTCACCATTTTAACGCAAATTATCAACCTGCAGCTGAATTATATCTATTTTGCGCTTGCTTTGTCCCCTTAAGATTCTTGCCCCTTTAGTCATATTTAGCGTCCATTTCGTCGAAATTTACAACGCCCCAAGCCAACTTTAATCATTACTACTTCAGCCTGAGACTCTGACGCTTCCCCATTCCTAATAATGTGAAAGAGCCGTCGAATACATCACTCACAAAACTAAGGCTTCGTTCGGATATGCGAAATTCAAAAGGAAACCTTTAAACCACTGAATTTGCTTTCTGGATTTTCTGGATCACAAACATTGTGCTTCTCGAAAAAAGTGAACTGACGCCAGCCTGATTCCACCAGCGACATAAATCCAACCGATACGTTCCTACTCACAAGTATTCGTTTTAAATATCATAAGAAAGGACCGTAAAAATTCCTATGAAGTAGGCGTTCCTACAGTACCTCCATCGATAAGCACGCCTATACCTGGTAATCACTCTCGGAATATCAATGAGAGTGTCTCTAAACATTGGCTTACAGCCAATCCAAAAGTTGGAAACAACAGAGATGTTTCCATCCTCATGAGAGAAACGGATGCATTCACGATGTAAGTGATAATGCCTGGCAACTACTGGTTGGAAACTGTCAACGGCTTCTCCCTCTGAAAAATATCAGTGAAGTAAGCCGACGACCTGGATTTCTGGAAGCCCTGGTCGCACTTACACGCTAGTGAATTGAAATGGCGGTTACAGTCCTGTCAGTTCACTAAGGCCGTCAGAAAACGAGTGGAACACATGGGCGTTCAATCGCACTGTAACAGGCATGCGTACAAGCAGTTTTTGCTAAAAGAACCCGCAAAACCATTGAAACAGAGCGAGTGTTTCGCAATTCAAAGTGTGGTGTAAGGCTGAAAGAATAGCAAATTTGCCCCTGCGTAATGAAAAGTAAAAATCATAAATTGTTCCGCAAAAAAAAAAAAAATCACAAATTCACCTGAAATATGGTCAATTCGTGATGGAAAAGTCGGCGTCACCCGGAAAAACGAAGCGCCTAAATGAAAGTGGTAGTCTCGTCTTCTCGTCCTCGGTTCTGATTTTTCGAAACCAAGTCTGCGTAATTTAATATAATTTAGCAAAAACTTTCGTCTCTCATTTCTCATCCAACCCCGCAAAATGCAGTTTTATGCAACTCTTCTGCAGCATCCATCGAGAAATCTAGCACCTCTCCTCTCCAAATCCGCATTTCATGTCACTTACTAAATTTTACGGCTCACTAGAAAGTGGGACTTTCAAGTTCGATGAAAAAACAGCAAAACTGAGAAGTGCCAGCAAGTCGAATTCGGCTCTGCCAAGCTCTCCTCCCGATGCTGTCTTTTGCCAGTAGTTCACTTTTGTCTGTCTGTCACTTCCATTACACGCGTATGCTTGAGGAACTTCTTTCCACTTAAGTACTAAGCGCCATCGCTCGCCAAGTCTCCAGCGAATCGAGCAAAACTTCACAACCGCCCAATTTCACGCCCTGTCGCGATACTCAACCGAGCCTTACACGACGAAACCTCTCTTCCGTATATGAATTTGAAGCAGCTTTAATCCGACTTCGCGCTCCCTCATCTGCACCTGATACAGATGCATCTGCTCTCACTCTTTTACAGACTGCCAGAAATGCCGCTCCCGTAAAGCGGTTTATTCAACCAACAGAACCTGATGTGAAATTTTTCACGCCGTATCCCAATTTCAGATTGCACGTGGAAATTGTTAAGGCTCGTCTGGAGAAGTATTCTGAATCCCCGGTCTGCCTGATCTGAATACCCTGGAAATTTTCCCCTTGCTGCATCTTGAAAATATGAAATAAGGAGGTAATTTCCATAAATCTTAGGGAATACTCGATAGGACTGAACAGCCCAGTGCGTACTATGTTTTTTGTACAAACGCTAAAAACTGTTCCGAATTCATGAAACGTTCAAACGGCGTATAAAGACAAAAGTCTTCGATTCCTTTATCTCCTCTCCACACACCTCAGGACCTATAACCTCGCACAGTGGCAGTGCCATCTAGCGACAAAATTAGTAAGTGCATTAGTTCCATGAGAAATTATGGCGGGGCAGTCTGCATGCTGAGAGAGCGGCAGCACTATCAAGACGTAGGCTGGAACGCACCAGGCGAGCCGGAGCGATCATGCGTTTTTGCACAAAACTTGAAT